TTCATTCACAGCTCTCCTTCATGCTTTTACTTTTAAGGCTTTTAAAGATCTCTTACCTCTCCTCTCAGCTTGCTTAGTTTTTTTACAAATTACAATGGAGCAAAAAAGGATTTTCAAGTTAAATCCCTATTTTGTTGAAGTCTTTTCCTTCTTGCTTAACTCCTCATTAGAAGACCAGAAAGAGAAAGGAGGACTTTATTTAGGTTCTTACTGTGATGATCACTTGTAAAGTCTTCCTCCTTCAAATATATTTTTTCAAGATTTAATTAGTGTTTAATGGAACAGTTATATTCATGATATATGCTGATTATTTCAGGCTTTCAGAGTTTATATGGAAAAGTAATTGAAATAAAGCATACCTTTATTATTTTTAGTTAAATTACAGTAAAAAAATATTTTAAATATAAGAGGATACACTTTCTGCTGACTTCATGCTTACATTTTATCTTCAGCTCTACTTCATTGATTTTTAACTTTGCATATGTGTAATTATTTGAATTGCAGTAGCTGCACTGTATTTATTAGGGCATTTTTTTTTTAAATTTTATATGTAGACTTTAAAAGCCCAGTCAAGAAATAAGAAAGAAGAATAAGAAATAATTCATACATAAATAAAAAACTGCAGCATCTAAAACTGTTCATGTTTTATTATACCACTTGGGATCACTGATTTTTTCTGAGGAACTATTCAGCATAATCAACACAGCCTTGTCTTTCCCTTTCTACACACACCTTTTTTTTTCCTTTCTTCATTCCTTTTTTTTCTATTTCTTTTGCTGCTCTCTTCCTTCATAGTTTAGTTTTCAAGGCAAGCTCCTAAATAATTTCTGTGTTGAATTCTGGAAAAAAAACAGTTAAGTCTTTCTCTCCTTATAGAAATGGTAAACAGGAAAAGACAAAAATGGATATTCTACAGCATAGACTAAATATAGGATCAGAGGTGGAAGCAATACAGAGTATGAAAAAAAAAATCAAATATTTTCTTTGCTAATGTTCATGAAATTAATATTTGTTTTGTTTTTATTTTTTTCTTTCTTTATATGCCACCATTAATTATAAAGATAAGAAAATGATTGGGAGGAAACTAAATGATAGAGTGTTAGAAATGCAAAATGATTCAAAATATTAATGTAATGCTAAGGATGACTGGGTAACAAATGGTACATTTGCCAGTATGCTTGACCTGACACAATTAATATTCCAGGTCGTGCTTGAGTTTCCATGATGGAAGGTCTGAGGCAGAGAATTCTAGGGGAAAAATATATCTATTGTATAACTCATTTCTCTTTTTTTTTTTTTTTTTTTTTTTTCCCTGACGAGTCAGAACCATAGTCTTAAAAAAAAATAAATCTGTGCTTTCACACCTCATTTGCCATATTCACTACTGGGCCACCATTCACCAGAAGGGCCTGATGCAAGGAGGTCAGTGAGAAGCTATTAGCAGAGTCCCCTCCTGAGATTTCTTTGGTCTTATTGAGGTGGAAGTTAGCATGACAGTACTGCAAATAACTCAGTTGTAGGTTTTTTAACAGTTAGCACAGATTTCCCCATAGTGTTTGTCACTTTAGAAAATTGTTCCTGGAAATGAAGTCCCAGAAAGCTGGCTTTGACAGAGGCCCTTCTTAGTTGTGAAGAACACGGGTACAGAAAAATGTGTCATTCTCCCTGAAGACAAGAGGTACTTTTTGTAACCTATCATAATATTTTAGAGGGTAACGTATTTTCTTATGGACTAAAGGTGGGGAAAATACTGGAATCAAAGTATAAGGTAATATTTCAAGACAGGTACTTTTCTACCATTGAAAAGGCAGTATTAACTACAATGTAGTGGAGAGAAGATTGTATTAAAGTAGGGAAAAGATGAAGTAACGCTTTTAAAACAGTGTACTGGTCTCAAAAAGATATGCAAATTTATTAAGTATCAAAGGCTTTGATCCTCCAGATTCTTAGATTTCTGCAGAGTGACATCTCCCTGCAGAAGACAGAGCGAATAGGGCATCCATCACGCACAGCACGTGTGCAAGAAATTACAAAAATAAGACACTGATTTGCAGAGATATTTAAAAAGGAGTGGATGCAATTATGTGAGAGATTGGTCTGGAAAGTAGAATTGAATTTGTTCCCTTTTCTGTCCTACCAAATTTTTCCAATTTTAAATCTGAGCCTAAAACCTTACCAGAAACCTTGGGGAATTTAGAGTAAATTAGTATTAATTTTATCTATCTAGATACTAACTCGGATGATTGCTATGCTATCTGTCTGTTTGAATACTTGAACATATGTGATTAAAATGTAAAGTAATTAACAAGGATTGCTTGAAAAAATACTATTTAAAAATGCACTTCATAATCAGTTTTGACCCAGATGTTACAGAGTTTGAATAATTTTTAGAGTGTCCATCTGACCTCACTCAATCTCCAAATCTGTTTTCATAATTCATACACTAGCTGTATGTTTAACATGATAGTATTGTGAAAAAAGAACAACAAAAGACGGCTCTTTGTTACAACACCTTTTCAGCAATAATAATTCAAAAGACACTGAATCAAAGGGTTCAAACACTCTGAAATACTGCTCAGGGTGCACAAACAGGATTGGCTTTTAGCACTTTAATGACACCAAAGTTAGGTATTATATATCCATTATATTATGTATCCATATATATCCATTGATTATAAATCATTATATCTATCTCCAGCATGGAGTCTACTTTGTTTGGAAGATCTTTACTTTGGCATTTTATATTTGAGAGAACTTGTGTAACAAATGTATAGATTAAATGCATTTAATAATTGTGCAACAGTACAATAAAGCCCAAGACAACATATGGAACTTGTGTTTATGTAGTGCTTACAGGAGTGTTTGCAAGGAAATAAGTTCTGGGCTAATAAGAACATTGCAATAGGGTAATGTCTGAAATACTACAAAAATAATAACAGCATTAGGAGAATCTGTAACTTTATGAGATGTTTATGTGAGTAAGAGCCAGACTTGAAGAATCAAACTTTTCAGATGCAGCTGGATTTTACAGATCATACATATGGACCTGCAATTTTGCATTCACTCCAGTGGTTCTGCTTGTCTGCTATTTGAAACATGGATCCCTGCTGTTTTAGCCTGGCATCCTGAAGAGCTGAAGCCACAACCAGTGGTTATTTGGCATACATATATTTCTACCGTTTATCTCTATTTGTGTCCTCTTTCCCATTACACATTCAGACTCAGGATGGTTTATAGGATTTGCACTAAGAGGGGAACATATAACAGAGTACCAAAATAAATTGTCATTAGGGCCAGATCACTTACAGAGTTGAAGAGTACAGCCCATAAAATTTTGAATAGACCCACAATATTTTGAATAAACTACCATCTCTGAATATTTTTGTCCATTAAACAATAAGTTTTATATGGGCCTTATTTAACTGTTTTGACACAAGAAATTGGAACTTCCAAGTAGAATACATTAATGAAAAATGCATTAAAGCTAATTGGGGAGTGTTCAATCCTTTCAGCCCCAAGAGATGAATACTTTATGGGGAGGCTGATGCTCTACTTAGTTTTCTCATGGCTCCTGAGTAGTGTTCCAACAGAAAAATGCAAGATTTTAAACGTTTACTCTTTTCCTTACCTTTCCCCACATCAGGAAACCGATTTCTTTTGCCTACTATTTTTATTCAATACTTCTTAGCAATTAAAATTATAATAAAGCAGAGAACAATATATTTTAACTGAGCAAATCTACTTTAGAAGTCTCAAGAATACTCTAAGTAGGAAATATAATTATCCTTAAAGCAACTCAGTATCTTTAAATTAATTTTCACCAGGTGTATTTTAAGCATATGTCATCATTTTATGGGAAGTTTAGTGGCTTTCTGCAATATGGTACCCTAATTCTCATGTTTAACTCTTCATAATTAATTCAGTAAATGCACATATGTCTATTTGAGAATTGTTTATATACAACTGTTAGAATCCCTACATTTAGAGGAATGATTTGGTAACAGCCTGTCACATAATTTTGACTTACCAGATAATCACAGATTGTTAATGACATAGATTACATACATAGTTCAGAATCTGAAATGTATGTTTTATATTAGTAATTGTTGTATTAGCTCACACTAGTGATGCAATTAGTGATGTATCCTGAAAAAATTAAATATCAAATTCAGTGAAGAATGAATCTTTTGGTTTAATTCACAATTCAGAAAAAATATTCTAAATTCTTGTTTTTCACAAGTTTTATACTGTTAAAACTAAATACATTTGAATAGTTAAAGGAATTTAATGTGAACATTTTGTTGGAAAAAAGCAATAGGTTTTTACTATTCCATAAAATTTTCTTGTATTTCCCCTTAACTAATCACTCATTTTTACTTTTAAAAATGCTGCAGTTGACACTGTTTTAGTCCTCGTTGTGAATCAGCTAGCACAGTTTAAAGGGACAGGAGTTATGTTCCCTTGCCTAAGCATTTATTTTACTCTTTAAATACATGTTTGTAAATAGAAGCAAGATGGTTTTGTTCCTATTTTGTATAGGAATTTAAACTGGAATCTAAATTAAATTTTATATTTCAAAACAACTATAATAGTTTATCTTTAAAACTAGATGCACATTTGTACACATTTGATTATTTTTTAGGGGAAAACTGGAATGTTTCTTTGACTACTGCTGTGAAAGGTGGAAGATTGAATGTGACTGAAAGAAAACATGGGTTTGAGATACAGGAAACCCTTCCGTAAAATGAAAATTACCCCCATTTGAAGGGCTGAAACCAAGATTATACATTACATTATCTTATTTAAATCCTTTTGTCTCTGTAATACAATGCCCAGAGATGCACTTAAACTAGATATCTATCTCATGTCAGCAGTCGTCAGAAACTTTGTGTAGAACTGTTTATTATACAAGGTTTTCTAGTTGGTTTGATTTACAGAATAAGTGCAAGAATTCGTTTCTAAGTTAGTTGAGGTCAAACATAACCCCATCGTCTGCTCAGATTGCAGGCATCTACAATTCACCATTCAGAGAATCCCCAGATCCAATGGAACTGCTGCTACGGGAGTCAAAGCCATTGAGCCACAGACGGCAGCAAATGAAGAGTCCCTTCTCCTACGACCTCTATGACTGGCCAACTTGTAAAAGGCCTCCGAATTTCTCCACAGGGCAGCCTCTGCCACCTATTGGCAGACAGAAACCTCAGGTAACATTTTGCAGTGTCTCTGAGGCAGCTTTTGTTCATAGTTTTTGTCATAGACCATTGAATATCTAGAGTTGGATCATGGAGTCCAAAAATCCCTTTTGTGGATTTGGTTTTAAGGTATAGATCTAGTGCTTGTGTTCAGGATATAGTCTTTGAAACAGGTTGGTCTTAAAGAAAAAGAAACGTAGATGGTATGTAATGGTTCTTTGGGGAAAAAGATGTCATTTCTGATATATCAAAGGGAAGACCTGATAGAATTGAATATCAATATTATGATTCATTAGATATAGATAATTAATTTCCAATTTAAAAAAAAATTAAAAATAGGAGAAATTAAAGGTAATGGGACAAATTAACCAAGTTGTGATAACTTTTTCCTCTTTTTGCATTTGTTTTCCATATGAAGGCCAAGAGACATCCTCTCAGTATAGGACAGTTCCCGCTCTTTTGTGTCCACTAGCTGCGTGTCAACTTTAATTACAAAAATTTCTCCATTTAGTTCTGCATCACAGCCAAGTTGCCCAGCTCCCATTCTTAACTGTCATGGTCTCAATTCTAACCTCAGTTGACGTCAACATATGTTGCAGATAGCTTTTATTTTCTCTTCCATAAGGTAATGGAGGTTTCTGAGATAATGCATCAGAGTGAAAATCCCACAAAATGACAAAACAGCTTTTCACCTCATTACCAAAAGCTACCAGCAATATACACGGCAGATAGACTTTTGAGACTTTTATATTCCTCACTGAATGACAGTACAATGACATGTAGCTCTTGCCAGTAAGTGCCTGGACAGGTGCTTTTGGGACAAAAGTATTCTGTCTTTCCCTCTATTCTGAAGCATTTCTCAGTTTGTCTAATCTACTGAACCTTCTACTTGCCTCACACATCCACTTTTCAGTGCTGGTTTGACTTTGAATGACCACAATGTTTTAAGAACCTCTATAAGTTTTTTTTTTATTTTGTACTCTGTCTTATATTTAAATTTTGTCTCCCATATTTTGCTTAGAAAGACAATGCTTCTGACTGAGTCCTTCTCAGTACTTTCACTGAAGATATGATTTAGCTACATAAAATAAATAATAATAATGAGCAATAAGCAATGTATAATATATCTTTATTGGTATGTTACTCCTCTGAATCAATATGGTTATTTTCACTATATTATTACAGCCCTTGGTAGAGGTGATCTGAATACAGTCTTAAGTTTGAACTACTGCTGGCTTCAAACTATGTACACACATGCCATCTGCCACAATTTACCTGTGGTTTATTGATTGCATCCACATTGCTCTTCAGTGGGGACAGCCACGGGCACACCGGCTAATCAACACAGAAGAGGTTTTTCTCCTCTTTCTGTCATGACTGACCTGCCCATAGCAGGATGAGTCTGTATTGGTGGTGTGACATGAAGGCAAAAGCAATTGTGTTAGAGCTCGAGGAGAACATGCAGGCCTACCAGAACACCTCTGGAGAAGAAGAGGTGAGCCACAGAGAGCCACACAGAAATTCACACTGCTTATAACAGTAAGGATCAATGTCAGGGCAATTCTCCACCTTTGTCCTTCCCTCCTTATGTTCTCCCTAATGGGACTGCTTGAGCTTTCTCATTGAATTCACTCATTGACTCAGGTTATAATTGAGACAAAGTGTGAGCCAGCAAACCGTTTGGGTGACCATGGAGTTTGGAGTTGAGATAAATATAACATAGCTTTACCTTCTGGGACCGAGGGGCTATGATGGTCCTTCAGTGGGATGTGACTGAATGCACTGTGTCTCAGGATAGAGGGGAAGGTTTTGCCTATTAGACATGGTGTAGGGCTCGGGCTTTTAAATAAAGAGGGAACTCAGAGCTTTTCTGTTGTTAAGTTACTCTTCCAAAACTGCTTTACTGTATACAAAGTATTTTATAAGCTTCTGTTTGGATTTCTAATATTTTTTAGACCTTTCTAAGTTCAGATGCACACACAGCAGTCGTGCACAGATAGCCTTTTAGAACAAACCAGAAGAGTTCTGTTTATTTTCTGCACCTCAAAGAGGGAATTTACTATATAATACTTTAATCCTTTCAGCACCCTGGGATGTACACTGTGGGGTAAATTTTCAAAGCACAGCGCGTGGATTTAGCTGCGCGACTCTTATTGATGTTAATGGGAGTCACACGGCTAAATCCCTGCACAGCACTTTGACAATTTAGGGTTGTATGTCTAAGAAAAGGACACTGGTTTGAGCTGATGAAACAGCTGGAAATGAAACCCCATCAGAACGCATCATCCTAAAAGTTGTCTGGTGTGACAATAAGGAATTTAATTACCAGATACGCTTGTGTCCTAGTTCTCTGTGGTAACACTTTTTGGCACCAAGCTTCTTTTTCTAATATCTACATGGCCCACTGTTGAGTCGCTGGTTACTTCACTGTTCTTTCAGGTATCTAAAATTTGTATCACCCATAAGGTTCGATATTTTATATGAGAACGTCAATTATATATGTTTAAAAGAACAAAAATGAGCTATCTATCAGCTTTCTCTTAGGGAAATGGGTATGGAGCACTTTATAGGCAAGCTCTGTGTGTGTGAGGTAGTGTATTTAAAAGAAAAGTTACTTATACATCAGTTAGATCTATCACTTTTATTACTGAGTTAACTAGAATTACAGTTTGATGGAAACACAGATAATGCTAAAATTAGTCATCTGTTCATTAAAAGGCATTAATAAAAGAAAGCAAATTGCCACATTTAAGGGATTTTTTGCATGCTGTTAGCTCTCCTGGAATGGGGGCAGTGAAGAACATATGATTTCATGTTGACCATAATTTTTATCATAAGTTTCTGATTTTATGGTAAAGTAGTAAGAATGCTGATCTGCTAACCTTTATTTGGCAGACCAGTCAGTAGGGAGAAGATTTATGCTACTCAGTAAAAATTCCAAACATAGAAGACACCGTTGTGTGATTTGCTTTCAGGATGAAAACTGTTGGTTTACTCACTCCCTTCTTCTCCTAGCCTGACCTCCCCAGGGAGATTTCTATTTTGAAGCAGGATGCCCAAAATATTTGCAGGCACTCCCAATATGAAACCATCTGTAAGCACCATTCCACCTCAGAATCCACGAAGTTAATCTTGTAAAATGGAAATTACAGAATAACAGAACCACAGAATGGCAGGGGTTGGAAGAGACCTCTAGAGATCATCTGGTCCAAGCACCTGCTAGGCAAATGGATTTTTTAAAGGTCTTTTTATTGTAGATATATTCCTTAGGTGCCTATTGCCAGGTAAGTTTCTTCAAATACATGATTCACAGGAGTGAAAAAATCTGCAGGGAGTGTTTAGAATTATCATAATATTCTAACATATATACCCCACTTTCATTAGTGATGACACAGCCTTGTTTGAGAAACCTTTACTTAGTTACACTCTTTCCCCCCTCCTTCCATTAGTAGCTGGATTCTATTAATTTCATTTGAACTATGGATTGAGAAAGAGTTAGAATGTCTCAGAAATTACAGATGGAAAGAAATCCTTGCTTGGATATCTGATTTGACCCTTACACTGGTGGAATATGAGTCAATATTTTACAATGAAGAAGAAATACAGTATTCTGAAAGACTATCTTCTAAAAGCAAACATATTTATCTTGATATTATTTGACAATAGTACATTTCTTTCTTCTTTGGTCCATATATCCACTTCATGAAAACATCTTGCAATACAGAGTATTCATTTCTTATTAGACATTTAAATTTTTTTTTCTAACTTGAGGATCAGATTATAAATTACTAGAACATTACTTACTAGTTTTAATGATCTGTTCTAGTATCAGTTATTCTCTTACAGACAACAACTCTTTTAACTCTGTTTTTAAAGACTTATTATGGTCATACTAAATGAATGGAATTTTTTATGCAGACTTAGAATATAGAATAAAGAAAATACGTTAAAAAAATGTCATTAAGCTCACATGCTTTCTAGGACCTTTAAAAAGATCTCCAAATCACGGTGCTGTGCCTTTAAAAGTAAAGTTCCAATAAAAATCCATTAACTACTTTCAAATATAGCAATTCTCCTGTCCAGCTGTGAAAAGTACTAGATGATACTTATTTGCCATTTGTGTTATTTACGGTCCATGACTTTTATGGTAACTGGTTCCTATTATTGGTTTCTATTAATGTAAAACATAAGTGAACATAAATGAGGCGTGAATCATTTCTTTTTATTAGCCCCACAGTCTTCACTCAGTGCTTGCAGTAACTCCAGCTGTGACTTGTTAGTGATAACCTATTTAAAGAAGGATATCTTTAAGAAGAAAGGCTGTGATTAGGATTCTTTGTCTTTTCATAGTTTCAGAAGGTTTCCCTAGTTCATTGCAGGATCAACAACAATGAAAATAAAATAAAATTTAATTAGCAACACTTCTAAATCCAGAGCTCCCCCTAAACTGTCCTGCAGTAATATGGCATTAATTATGCTCCAGGTAAGCTCTTACTAGTTAGTACTAAAAGCAAGGCATAGGATATGTCCCTTTGACAGTGCAGGAAGGGGCTTCCTGCTGCTATTTATCTGTGTTGTTAAATAGTAGATGCTGATATGATCAGTTATTAAACAATGTATTCTGGAAAAAAAGATATATGTGTACATAGAGATAGACTTGTGAAAGAATTATGAGCTTTCATTTTTCTGAAATTAATGTGGAATTAGACATTTCAAAAATAGAATATACACCTATGTTATTGAAGTCATTTGTTTTAATTGCATTAGAAGAATTATATCTTAAGTCATGTATTAAGTTCCCTTCCAGGTAGCTTTATAGTTAAACTGAAAAAACCCATGTTTTTTAAGGTAAAACACTATTTATCCTATGAAAAGGAAAAGGCTTCAGCTTTCTTCTTAAGTAGAATCTAGATATAGTTAATACTTGTGTATCAGATTTTATTTCACGAGTATTTTTTTTCAAGGGAAAACTAAGTTTTCCTAATCAGTTCTAACAATGTATTGGTTTAAAATAATAAATACTTATTAGTAGTAAAACAAATCTGGAGTGCACATTTCTCATTCTCTCTTTATGTTATCATCCTTTGCGTTATCTGCAACTCTCTATCAAAATGAACTGCTTTAATTATTTTGGAAGAAAAGTCTTGCTACACTTCCCAGGCGTTCTGTGTCCTCTTCCATCAGTGATGCGTCATGAATAAAAGAAGGAAAGAAAAGAACTGTAACCCCACAATAAAACACTTCCATTATCCTATACCTTCCAGGGGCCTTTCCGCGATACCGCTGAAGTATTGCAGCAGCGCTACAAGCCTTTGGAACCAACCTTGCGAGTGGCAGCATCAATCAATTCACCACTAGAGAAGGCCAGAGACGAAATGAAAAAGGAGGAATGGAGAAACCGTATACATGACAATGAGTAAGTTCTTTGTTTTTTTCCTATATTGTTATGAGAATGTTTTCTTTATTCCGTTGCTTTCAGAAACCTTTCATGCCTGACAAAATGAAATGTCAAACCTGACAGCTTACTAGCAAACATTCTATGTACATACTTCTAAATTCTGTGTCCTTAGATTATAAACCGTTCAGGGCAGAGACCCTATCTTGTGATTGTGTGACATGTGCCATCCATACCTACGAATCTGTAGAAGAACTTGTTATAATAACAATATGTGATGCAACAGATGGGTTTAATGGGAAATAAGAAAACAAATGCAAATTCTGTTTTGCCCAATGCACCTTGCCAAGGAAAAAATACTGTTTCAATCTTCGTGTTTGGGGAGCTTACAGACTATGAGAGGAAAAAATGGTGTTGCATGCCAATGAGACTTGCATTCTCTCCCTGTAGACTACCAAAGCTCACTTGGAAGGGAAGGAAGCATATGTTGCACGTTAGAACATGATGCAAAAACTGTAATCATCTTTGAAGCAGTTTGGGTTCCTAAGCCACAGCATCTGTAATACTATCAGACAGGCCAGTTCTTTTCCATACAATCCCAAATACAGACATAATCCATCCCAAAAGATTTCTGTCCAAAAAGATTTAAGGCTATTGCCAAAATATTTCCAATTCTTTTCTTATCATGATGGAACTCTTTTTTCCAATCATAATAAAAGCCTGTTAACTCACCTGCACTGGCTTTGTACTTCACAGGAAAAAAATTGATGTTTTGTCAACTTTTCTCTTGAATTCACTGGTCTTGGCAATCTTTTGACACTTTAATACCAGAATTCAGGACAGAAAGCAATCACTTTTCCTCATGAGCAGCCTGTCACCCAGTGGGAAACAATGTGTTGCTATCTTTGATCTGTTTCAAGCTTTTCTATCAGCTCCATGTTGTCATGTGTCAGCTTCAGGACTGGGACTTAAGAGTATGTGAATCAATTGCATTTGCATGGTTTAGCATGTATGTTTTTATTGTTGGACTGTTTTCTTCACATTTTCCTTGATTTAATATTAACAGTGACTTTAAATGGAAATTATAGTCAAAAGCAGTTTTAAAAGAATAATATATTTTAGTTCAGCTACTTTTTCACTTTTAGGCAATACTATTTTGTATATTTGATGCCAAATTGACATATAATATGTCTTATTCCTTTCATATCAACAACGTTAACTGAGTTAAGTCACAAGTAAAAATGTACTTGAGTTTTCTATTCCTCTCAGTATTCTTTCATATATTGGGGTGAAGGGGAAGAAGTTTAAATTTCACATCTCAGCTTAAATCTGGGCCATTTTTCAAAATTATTTTGTTTTCTAGCTTCTGCCGGTGACATTTAAAAAAAGAAAAAAAGGACCAAACAAAGCATGGGATAATAATTAACATCCTAGCTCTCATTTAACTTGTTCTTTTCACTGAATAAGTCTTGACTGATGCATTCCAAGTGAGGATGGATGACATCATTCATTTATAGGCATGACTATGTTGCCCAGTCTTTATTTCATGAAGTTTACCCCAGACATTGCTATGTAAACAGTTTCAGAAAGTCAGATCTTGTAATAAATATTTCACCGACTCTCTTCAGTGAGAGAATTATGAAGCTTTGGTCTTGTACAGTTTAAATTTGGAGCCTCCAATGTTGACAGATATTAATTAGTATGGGGTCTTTATTTACCTTATGGGGAAGGAAGCATTTGGTGCCATCTTTAATGCACAGAAGCAATATCCTAACGCCAATGTTTCTCAGCTTCATGGATGCTAAACGCATAGTCTGCTATACATTTTGAGGCCGTGATGTGATCATTCCGTTTGTGCTTCATATTCAACCGACCATGCAAGGGTCACATCTGTAACCTTGAAAAGGTGATGACAGAGTTGCAGGTCATCATCAGGACTAAGGCTCACTAGTAATGCTGCAGCTGCTGTGTGGGATGCTGGTCTCCAGGGAGGAGTCTGCAAAGGGTTACTCGGATTCTACAGTAGATTTTTCTCAGCAGTGTCTATTACGAATTGACAAATTTCTGTCTCTTTCTATGTAATTGTGTACTTTGGGACTGTATTTCTTCCTGGTAGTGCTTCCTATGCTGATTATTCTTCTATTTTAGAAAATATGGAGAGAAATAACAGCAGAAGTGTGAGGTGTTTGTTGAGAAAGCTTGTCTTTGCATAAATAACAAACTGAGTCCTTGAGTATGTATTGTGTGATATCTCTTAAGACAGAAAAATTGTCAGTGTATACCTGCAATTTCCAACAACATTCAGAATTCCCATTTACCTTTGATTATCAGGGTTCTTTAATGTGGGAATACGTTTGCTCTAAGTGTTCCAAGTTCCAAGAAAGTTTTTGCTTCTGATAAAATGCAGAAATAATTGAAAAAGCTGTGTGAGAGTTTGAGGCAGGCAGAAGCAGCATAAATGAAAGCAAGAGAGAATGTTGTGCTTGCTTAAACCAACTGCTGGAATTTCCTACTTTGTAATGAAAGACAAACTGGTTAATCTAGATTTCTTTTTCTCATGTAATCGAAGCTGTTACTGCCTTATTGTGCTATTTTTCATACAAATGAAGTGATATCCCCCTCTGCTTGGGTAGGAATGACAATTTGGGACTCCTTTGGGATGGCAACTTAATAAACTAGTGTCTCGTTTGAGACACCAACTGCTAGATCCAACAGATTTAGATCACTAAGCATGAAGTTCTTTACTCAGTGGCATGCAGCTGCATGCTGGTGATTTTCCAGAGAACAAAAATGTAAATTATTTGCTGAAATCTGTCTCATGTAACATGCCTCATGCATCAAAGTATACTATTAAACGTTTTTATAAAGTCAGCATATGTCAGAATGAGTTGCAATGCGGTGATAGAACAGGGATAAACCAGCGATAGAGTAAGGGGGTTTCCTGGTTTATTGTAGTCTTCTGGTGTGACATCAGCAAAGCATCTCGGCTTCTGGCTCTGTCCGTGCTCGGGGCTGTACTGGAGAGAGCCAAGCTCGTCCTGAACACACTGGTTCATCTGTGTGCAGCAGAGTACAGTGTCTGCACCCTCTGCCTCCCACGTGCTGTGCCAACATTGCAGCACCGAGCTCCTCACGGGCTTATTCTCAGCAAGAGAATACTTTCCTTTACAACCAGTGTAGCTGCTTCCATGCCACATAGTGCTGCCAAAGACAGGTATGCTTACAGAGAAATTAATCATCTAAATAAGCTCTGGACTGGGAAAGAATCAGTGTTATGAGCTGCCTGATATTAACGGTAATAAACTTTAAAAAGCAGGTTGCTTTGATAAGATTTAAGATCTAAAAAAAAAATCTTTCTATTTCCACATTTATAAGACCATTTACTGATGGTCTTACACATGTATTTCTGATTTAGCTGCAGTAAAAATGGCTGTAAACTTGCATCACACAAATGTTACACATCTGAAAACTTTTTTCAAATTATACTTAAGTTTTTCATATGCTTTGCAACTTCAGCAATTTGCATATTTTCCGGACTGTTATTGTATTATGATAAACAGGGATTATCATATATTTTCAGATAATGTTTTCTTAACAATTCAACTTCTATTTGTAACTCTTCCATTTATTTTAATTACTAGCACAGTGTGCAACATTTATTAATCAGCAGAGTCTTTTTAAGTTAAAATACTAAATTAGCTAACCCCATTAACACAGAATACTCCAAACAAGCAGTAATAGGAGAGGTAGTTACTGTGCAAATCGTATTATACATGCGGGTGCTCTAGGGCACAGTTAAGCATGATTACCCTCTTTTGATCCAGTATTCCTCTGCTTCTTCCAGCTAATTTCCACTGGAAATTTACAAAGTAGCTCCTTCATTTTTCCATCTTAATTTTTCTAATGAAGTTCTGGTACTTTATAACACTGGGGATGCAGATAATAAGTCTGTATAATTAAGAAGTTCCGGAATTTGCTGCAAAAGAGGTCTCTTATACTTCTGACAAGAAGTAGACTAGGCTTTGCTTTGCCACTTTACATTATCGCAGACAGGGGTTAAACAAAAATGGCCAGAGGATTCTTAGATTTACTGCCATTAGGATAAGATTGATAATTTATTGAAAAAGTATTAAGTGTATTACCATAGGAAATATTTGTAATAAGGCACCCCAAATTAGTTTCTTATAGTGAAAATACTGCTCTAAAGGGTAATCTGACTAGATATGTTAAGTAAAATATTCTCTCTTTAGTTTTGCAAATAACACTTTGATTTTAATGTGCACTCATTATGACTTAAATAATGGCTGCACTGCTGCAATTGTTTTGATATGGAAAACCATTGTGCTTCCTTTGTTCCCTGAGTGAAAAGATAAACACTGTTGGATTTGATGAAGACATTACTTCAGGTATAATCCAAATTTGAAAGCTAATTTCATGTTTTATTTGAATAAGAAAAAAAAAATATTAAAGATTCACAGCTTTCTGATAGAAAAGCACAGTTTGGAGCTAATTGTTCATGTCTTCTTCAAAGTGAAGTAAAATTGTTTTATTTCAATTAAATAAAGAAAACAAGGAATTGAATTGCTATTGCATAGAACCACTTCAGATAAAAATTTAACAACACTATCACACATCTAGAGTTAAGATTTTGGTAGTATTTTTACTGCTAAATTACAAAAATGCACAGTATATACAAATAGCATGAAAGTTTGAAAAACCACGTAAGCAGAATATTCCTTCTAGTTCTCTGGTCTCAATATTTCTGATTGTGCCCTGGTAGTGCAGCATGTATGGCAGTCCAGCAGGAGATCTACAGCCTGCTCTTTCTCAGAAGCCTGGGTAAAGTCTGAAACATTTCTGGTAGAAGGATTACAGGCTTGAACTGCTAGACTGCTGAGATTTTGCCTGTTGGGCAGGTCCAGAGGACATGCCAAAGGACCACTCCGGTTTTTGCTGCCATTTCAATTCAAGAAAAAGTTAAAGCCTCTGAACTGTGTCCTGTTGGTAGGTACCATATAGCATTGGGATGCCACCACCCAGCAATAAAGGATGGACCTGACAAATTCTCCTTCCTGTTCATGCTGCTGCTGCCTCCTCTCACATTGCTGTAGCCCAGTACCTACTGCTGCTTCTAGTGTCTCAGACAATCCAAATGGAAAGCCTTCGGTGTCTAAAAGGCCTCTTCCATCTCCTGTTGCAATAGTGACAGATATTACAGTAAAAGGGACAAAATGGAGGGAAGAAATGGTAGGTGAGGAATGCAGGAAGAAAGGTCATGAGGGGGTAAAAATTTGAGGAAAAGAAGGGTTGGAAAGATGAAATTAATAATATCAGGGAGGTGCAGGATAGGATGAGTGAGGGGAGAGAGAAGGTTATTTTTATTTTTATTAACAATGGATGCCTATGGTATCTTCTGAAATTCAAATACATACAACCAGCAGCTGTTAGCTATAGGACTGGCTACTAAGTTGAGGCTTCTAGGTCTTTTTTATGCTAATTAGGTTCAACATAGTGTAGTGCTGGCAGCAGTGCAACTGGCCTTCATTACCAGTGATACCGCCAGCTTTGGTCCTGGTCCTCCCCTGGGTTGTGTATGTGTAATACTGCTATTTGTAGAACCTGAGACAGTTTCCCATTTTTTGGTTTCAACTCTTCCCCCCCGTCTCGAATGTATTCTTTAACATATCTGTCATTCAAGATTTTGTGGTGGGTGAAACAAAATAATTTTTCATTTTAAAATGTATTTCTTTAGAGCAAGCTCACCTCCTAATAAATTATCAGCTTTTGGAAAGGCTCAGCTTATAATGATTGCTTTATGGCACGGTATAACGTCAACATGAAATTTAATTCTTCTTTGATCCTGCTATTTCTGTCTCTGACATATTTACTGAAAACCTTTAAGAATTTCTTAATTTAAACTTGAATAGCAAAGAAAAGCTGAAACCCAGATGTAAGAATCCTGTGCGTGAGCTTTTTATGGAAAAAACCCCAACCAACTCTTGAGGCCAAACTTGTGCAGTTGATAATGGCATCATACCACTGTCTGGATTTAATTTTCTTCTCCTTCCATCACTCTCTTCTGTCACATTCAGAGCACATACTGTCATTAATTTGGGGAAAAGCTGTGTCAGGTGTATATAGAGAGCTACAGAACACAATACCATTACTGAAGTGTTTTGCAGTGCTATTGCTTTTTAGTATTATTATTGGTTGTGGGTGTATAATGACTTCTGTATGACTCCCATTAATTTAGTTACGCTGCTTAACACACAAAAATGTTGTAAGGTTCTTTTTAATTACTTATTCACATAAAAAAATGAAAATTCTTACTTACTTTAAACAGACGTTGAATATATGATCGTTTCCTGTAGTTAGATCATTATTGCAATAAGGATCTGCCCACTTGGCTCTGGCAGCAGAACTATAGACAGAAGAAAAAAAAGGTGCTACTTTAGAATATAATTATAATACCTTATAATATTTTTAATGTTCTTTCATTTAAATTTTAATATTTTTTATTGTTCAATATTTCTCAAAAATTCACAGTTGATTTAATAATATTTTTTTTACTCAGCCATAGACATACATTCCAGGCTGTATGGCACATACTCCAGTTAATGATCTTAAAGGAGATATGCAGCATAAATGTGGAAGATCACACTTGTGCTAAACTACATGCAGAATATACTGTGAGGTTTATCTTCAAGTGTTACAATATATGTATTTACAATCTATTTTTTGTTTGGAATCATGGTAGAACATAGATTACTCTAATTATTAATTTGCCAAAAAGACAAAGATTAACTGATTCACAGTAAAAACTATAATAATTTACTTCATCTTCTACTTTTATCAAGAATTATTTTTTGCCATTTAATGTATAAATTTTACAGACATAGTATTCATATTGAATTATGAATGCTATGCCTCAACTAAATTCTATGCATATATGGGCAAATCCCTAAACTACTAGCCCTGTCTTCTCAGCTATCCAGTCCCCTGAGAAAGCCAATTTTCTTTCATGTCGGAACAAAAGAAAAATGTACTATTAAAATGCAATTCAGAAGTGATAAAAACTGCAAGTGGAGCAGCCGGCTCGCAGCACCTTCGATGTATTCTCTGGGACATTGGGGCCACATTAATTTTTGTGTGTGTGTGATGTCCATCCCATGTGCAAATTAGCATTACAAGTACCATAATCTGTCTTATGTGAAAGTGTCCTTTCCCATGAGTATACACATGCTACTATAGGTTTGTATAATTTAAAAGTCTGCTAACTCAGTGTTTTTCCTTCACTAACTTTACATGATATTTTTTTTTTGTGGTACTTGATAGACTAAATTGATATAGCTGGCAAAATTCTAAAATAGTTTATTTTTATGAACTGGAAATACAATTTAAAACATGTAATAAGACATGTACATGTAAGATGTGTAATTTAAAAAAAACAACCCACTCAAACAGTTGCTGGTGGATCAGATAGACTGAATAAATAATTTTCTGAGAGACAGAAGAAAGGTATTTTAATCCATAACTTTATCCAAAACATTTTTGACTGTCGAAATTTTTTAAGAACTCTGGATTCTGAAGAGGTTTCAACTAGGAATGGTTTTGATTAACTACACCTGTTGTCATGGCAGTTAAAGTGACTTTTTATACTTCTGAGGCATATATTTCTGATTTTACTATATAATCAGTTTTCTGTTTTTCTGGAGGGATAGAAGAAGCTCGATAACTTGGCATCTGCACTGAACGAGAAACGACCCTCTTTTTTGTGGAAGCATGACAGAACATACATTTGAAATGGAAATTGCTTTGCTTATTCAAATGAAAACCTCTGAGCAAAGAAGCCCAGCTTTCATTATTTTGATTAGAAGCTAAGTATTTTGCAATAGCAAGCAGGTAGGGAAAAAGCCAGATTGGAGGCAAAGAAAATATTTTTTTTTCCTTCAAAAAATGACTATTTTGTTGCTTTGGGATATGTGTAAATTCATAAAACAAAAGTAAAATGTGTTTTTTTTTTTTTTTTTTTTTTTTTTTTTTTTTTTTTTTTTTTCAGAATACCAGTAATGGTAGTAATGCTAAATTAAAAATAAAGATTTTACTTTATATGAAAATGTGCCTGTTTGCTCTTATAACCCTCTTGCAAACTGAAATGGATAGAACTAAGTAATCTCAGCAGGGTCTCTTGAAGATCCTTTATATTTAAGATGTTTTTCACCTTTTTCCGTACAGTTTGCTGTGGAACCCACCCAGAAAACCTGTAGTTTTCCATGAAAATTAGGGACATCCATCTGAAAACCTCTTCCATGCCCAAAGCAGGTAGCTGGAGCTTCACTGTTCAGTGGCACTGTGTGAGCAGGCAGTCTTTCATCACCATGACCAAAGGCGAAAGAATATGAGACTTTGAAAGATTTCTAGTTAAGACATAATTATAACTTGAGAGAAAGCACACAGTTTGTGAATTCAGAAGAAATAATTTCTTTGCTTTGTGGTCTGCCAATATGTGAAAGTCACCAGTACTATTTGTATAAGTTTTTATTCTGATAAATGAGATGATGGTTTATTTAGCTTTGGTTTACAAATAGAAAAAACATGCATAACGGGTTTATTTGCATACCAGGGAGGATTCTTTCTGGTGTAAATTGCCTTGGTTTATGCTTACACTACTGATGTGCTTGAAATTTCTCTGTTCTGATGGAACGATCAGGTGGAGGATATGTGTTGGGGGCCTCCATGACTTGCAATTTCTCCAGAAATGTGCTCTGTACTTGTGCATGGTGCATGCCTGCCACCCACAGCTGGCACAGACTGCACTGCCTGCTAAAACCTGAGGTATCAAAGTGCAGATTCCTGCAAGTTGAACCCTGCTCATTCTCTCTTCACACCACACCAGTTGGTAGTGCAGACAGAGCCAAAGTAATAATATAGTAATGCAAGTTATATCTTTGTACAGAAAGACTTCATTTTATCCTGTTGAAACTCTATCTCTTTGCTCCAAATTTAACGTAAAAACAGCTATAGGAAAAATTGCAGTAATCCTCTCAAAATACTGAGGGGCAACATTAAGAAGGTAGTGGAAAATAGCAGGAATGTGTCCGTGTCACCTCTTGTAGTGTTGGTATCTATGATTTACATTAGCCCTGTGACATCTAGAGTAAAGCATAAACAATTTTTAAATATTCTTGTTTTTCAGGTTTCTGCCATTTTCTTCGTATCATAAAAATGAGAAGTATGACCCTTCAATTCTTAGGTCAGGCAAATATGGTCAAGAAACTTATGGAATTAAACACTTCCGAGAAGTACAGCCTAAGAAGTGGATAGCAGGCAAGGTAAGTCATTGCATATTTACTCTCACACAATAAGAAAATTATGGCAAAAGCTGATAAAAACAACAAAATATTTTACTACTTACATTCTTTGGAAAAGTCTAAAAATTAGTGAAGACCTATTTTTAATTTAAGATAGCCTCATTACACTGCCTACTTTCTCAGGAGCGTCTCGTATTATTTCTGGTTTTGTAGTGCTGCAAGAGGTAATTTTCCTCAGAACATGTTCGAACATGAGTTTGTGTCATGTTTGCATTACATCTATTTGTATTAGGTATCATAATCACATTAAAATTTTGCAGTACAAGAAGTGTAATAGACTTGGTGGAGAGTGTAGCACTGAGCCACAGGGATAATTAAGGGACTGGACCATCTTTTGTATGAGGAAAGGCTGAGAGTGCTGGAACTCTTCAGTCTGGAGGAGAAGGCTCAGGGGAGATCATATCAATGTGTAGAAACACCTGAGAGGAGGGAATGGAGAGGGAGCCAGAATCCTCTCACACTCAGTAGCGTCCAGTGAAAACTGGACAAACTGAAATGCTTGAAATTCCATCTCAACACGAGAAAGCATTATTGGTTGGTTGGTTTTTTTTTACTGTGACAGACCACTGGCACAGATTGCCAAAGAGGTTGTGGACTCTCTGTCCTTGGAGGTATTCAAAACCCAGCTGGACACAGTCCTGGGCAACCTGCTCTAGCTGAGTAGGGGGGTTGGACTAAATGATCTCAAGAGGACTCTTCCAACCTAAACAATGTTGTAAGATATGATTGCTTATTGTCCTGAAAGTAACTTAACCTTTGTAAATATATGTAATGAGTTCCAAGGAATCTTAGTTTGAGAAGTAATATTTTTTAAAAATAATCGCTTCTCAAAGCTTTAAGCTTTAAAAATTACTTCAGAGCAAAATTTTGGTATTTTAACATACATTAATTAAATCTCATTGAAAATAAAGGCACAAAGATCAACATTAAAACAAAAAGATCTGAATTTGACTTTTAAAAGCAATAAATGGAGGCTACAACTGGCTGAAGTCCCACAGCATAAGTATGATATATAAAAAAGATCTGAAAGTCTTATTGGTAGTACTCATCTTGTCCTGTGAACACTCTTCCAGTCCTTAGCAGGTTTTGATCAGGCTCAGGTGATGATATCAAACGATGTAAAGATATTTATATTATATATCATATCACATGCATATAATATTATATAAATTATGGGCTTAACAACTAACCTCACTTTGCTTGTGATCTTGGATAGATTTCAACCTCAGCCTTTGGAGGTGAATAGCTGTATACATTAACCCAACATGACACACAGCCTTCCAACCCCAATTCTAAATCAATATGAAGATTCAATTAGGAGCCGCTTACCCAAACAGAGAGATAAGAGGAGAAAAGAGCTATTTATGACCTATCTGCTGCTTTAATGGGTCATTATTATCAGAAAAAAAAAAAAAGAACCACCCCAAAATCCTCCACCTCCTCACTACATTTTAATGGAAAAGGTTCCATCAGCAGGTGTGAAGTTATATTTTCATAACTGTTACATTTGAAAGAACTCTCTGTTTATTTCTTATTTCTAAACTGTATTAAAACTTTGTATATACCAGTGCTATGAACAAAATTATCCTGTTCTAATGAGTCACCAGACTAAAGGACATGTATCAATACACCATCAAAATCCCCAGATTTTTGCTTAATAGTTTGTCTGCTACACACAAGCCTCCTTTATGTTTCCCATGAGGTGGTTTTTGTGTGGATGCAACTCATATTGCAACCTGTGTAGCTGCCATGATGTATATTCAGCTTCTGACTATTATACCGGTGAAGTTTCTGTTATCATTGCTGCTAAGACAAAATACTGCATAAGTTCTTCCAAGGAGTATGTTCAGTGGTCAGTGAATCAGTGACCTCTCTCAGCTACCGAGGTATTGTCCGATATTTGCTGGCTTCTTTTTAAAGTACATATAAAAAAGTTTCCCTGTGTATGTTCATGAGCATGTCCTAGTTGTATTTTCCTGAGGTTTTCATGTGTTTATAAATACGAGTTTTAATTCAAGTCACAAAAAAAAGATCAATATGTAGATTATGTCATTTTAATAAAAAGTAAGGTTATTAGCATAGACTTCCTCTAAACACGATTGCCATGATGTGCGGAAAAGTTAATAGTTCTTCTTTTCATCTAGTTATAACCTGGAATTTTTTATCTCATTCTGTTTACATTTCAAAGAAGTTTCTGAGTTAAGGGAAAAATTGTTGCATGCTAATTCTTCATTAAAAATAAACAAGAAATGGAAATACCGTACCTCTAGTGAAACTGAATCTAGTCAGTTTACCGAGTTTTAAAGCGCTATAAAAATGCTTGCATATTTTAAGTTTAATATTGTATGTCTAAATACCTTGGAATGCCTTTGATAGAATTTATGTGAGAAATATCAATATAAAAAATTTACCAGTCACTATGAATTTAAGCTACAATGAAAGGTTCCGATGTACCTGGACAGTTGAAGGATCAAATGCGCTAACTATAATCTTTCAGTTGTCAAAACACTCACATATGTTTGTATTTACTGAGGCAGAAATGATAGCTTATAGCCTTTAATTGGTATCGGAATTAGTTTGCATATGCATTTTAGAAAACTGACTTTAATGACAGCGTTTAATGTTTTCTTATTTGCAAAATTCAGGAAGTGACATTTTAAGATATTCCTTCCTGATACATTCTTTCCTCTGATGCCTTATTATAGGTGAATTACAGTACGACTGCATCACTGTTTCCTTATTTGCACAGGCGTTTTGGACCTAAACAGAATTTTATTATCTACAAAGCATAAAAATACCCAGTACTGCAAAGAATTAATTTAGAGAACCTAAGCATATTGCACAGAACATAAAGTTGACCTTTACCGTCTACAGCTTTTGGAATGGAGTGGGATGTGGAACATATCATAGATTTAATGTGGCACAACGCTGTCTGCAGAAACTTGGGTGGGACTGTGACTGCCTGCCCATTGCACTCGATGATTGAATCTGCTGTCACCAGCATCCTGATAATAATGAACATTCAGCTTAACGACCGTGATTATGATTATCATAATTGATGTGCAAGTGCAGTGTGTGGGGATCATTACAGCTGAACTGTACAGCAGAGAAACATGCCTTAGTTATGGATAATTTTACTTTTAAAATATGCCTTTTGAGTTCAACAGGCCAGCTTAATATAATTTTAGGAAGATTTCTACATGTATGAATTGATCATTATGAGCTTCCTGCAAAACAGTCATTCCAGCTGTTTGTTTTGAATTGTTTCATTCCATTAATAACGTGAAATAATTAAATAATTAGATGTTGTCGAGTGGAAATCACTTACAGAGTACTGCCAACATTAATCAAATATCAAGTTCAAATATTTCTGATTGTCATGGCCTTGCCTAGGCTAGGAAAAATAGCCCTTGTAATTCACCACCAACACAATTCTATTTTTGTTGGAGTAGTAGAAATTGGGCTGTAGTCAACACTACTGGTATTTTCACAGTATTGTGTAGCTGTTAGAGCAGGTAATAGTTGTTCTTTATAAAATTGTATCACTTTCATCTCTGTCACCAGAGGCAGAGAATTACAGGCTCAAATTCAGCCAGTGTAGGTAAAGGTACAATCAACAGATTCAGTTCATTTTGTTGGACAGTGATTGCCTTCAACCAAGATTATATGAAGTTGCAGAAGTATCTAATTAAATCATGACATGTATAACAGATAAACGCCAATGTCTGCATGTACTTTAAGCCAGAGTTTATATAAAGAATGTTACAATATAAGTTTAATGCAAAGTATAGAGTTTCATTGATTTACACTGGGTGTAAATTTGGCTCTTTGTCCAAGAACTGGCAGAAATGTCCTATCTGGGATAACAGAAATAACAGCTAATGGAAAAAGTTCTTGATCTTTTACTTTCTTTCTGCCATAATGAAGATTGTAAGGATCGAGTATCTATGAATGACTCGGCTGTGTAATTCCTCTCCCATGACTTCACTAAGTTTGGACTTTCTATGATGAAAAAGAGAGCTTGCTGTGTGTTCAAGGAATTAATCCTATTTTATATAGTCTGCTGCCTCTAAAAGTTCAATAGCTTCTGTGACTTTCATTGTTGCTTACACTATGGACCAAGTGGAATCATATTATCAGGTTGGGCCCTAAATTAGAGCTATGTAGGAAGAGGTCCACAAGGAGAACATAATATGAAAATCTCACTGCCTTCGAAAGTGAGTGTGGTTCTTCTACATGGTTGTGGCCAACCCATTTTTGTCCACATTCTTCTAAGATGACTGTGTCCTGTAGTTCCACAGCGAATGTATCTTTGAATAGTATTCTTGTGAGGGAAAAATAAAGCCGGAGTGGGGAAGTGATTTGTTCTGTTTGAGAATTAGTTTCGTCTCTTGTAGGACCAACACATAGTCACAATGTCTGTGAGTATCAATCATGTGTCCAGTGGATGATGTCATTATATGACAGAATTGTTTGGTACATTATTGCGGATTTTCCATCCCAGACTATACTGAAATTTATTTAAATTTCACCTTAACTGTATTTTTCCTAACCTTGCAGTGACTGGACTTGAGACAGAAGAAGTTTAAACATACATTATACCTATCTTAGATTGTGACTCCATGACAGTTTTTTAAAGGAATTTGCTTGTTTTCTTTTCATTTTAATTAAGAAAAAAGATGATGCAAGAATATTTTCTAATACAGTGTGATACTGGCTGATGTGCATCTGTATTATCAGCCTTATTCCACATTCTAAAACTCTTAAGGCCATGTTTACTAGTGTGCTTTTGGACAGAAGTTTCTAACGTACAATAAGAAGAGCTAGCATGTATTTTGAATATCAGATTCTTAGTTCCCCAGTCCTTCTGCAATGTGTTTTCATAGGTAATGCAGAGCTGACATAATGTGGCAGCCAGAAGTGACTCTATTGTAGGGGAATTATTAGATGATCTGTAAGAG